CATGTTGACTTTCCTTGGCAAAGAAGGCATAAGATATATTCGGTCGTGTGCAATATGATAAAATATTTTTTATGTTTGTTTAATAAAAATGTATAAATTTTAAATTAATTTATTTATTAAAATATTTCATTTAATTAAATATTAGTTGAAAATCCGCATGGTTCATCACTTAATAGATTGAACCGTCGATTCAAGTCGGTTCAATCCGATTCATATCTAAAACAGTTTTAACAAAATTCTAAGCTGACTAGCAAACCGGTTCAAGGCTCAACCGGTTAAACCAGCCGGTCCGATTCGAATAATTTTTATGGTGACATTGAAATCATGAGATCTAATTTTTTTAATTAAAAAAAGTGGTGGGGGCAACAAAAGCATAAGAAAGAAGCATGAACCCAGTTGTAATAAAATCATGAAGATAACAAAATTAGAGATGAAACCTCCGTATACAAAAAGTTAAGCGAACGCCTTGCGCGCCTTTGACCTTGCCCCAATGCAAAGACTTATAGAACTTATAGTCTTTGGCTCAAGGCGTCAATGCAAAGACGCTTTTAGCCTTTGGCGCAAATGACTTCTTTCGCCTTGCCCCAATGCGAGGACGCTTCTAGCCTTCCACCAAAATGAATGCAACGCCATTTCTCCCCTAGGAAACATTTTAAAATTGTTTTAGCTCTCATTGGAATCATTTTAAAATAGTTTTAGGTTTTTTCAAAAAATTTGTAGGATTTTCTTAAAATTAATTTTCAAAAAAATAATAATAATCATGGCTAATAAACTGTCAATGATAATTCCAAAGAAACTTTGTTCATATTTATTGTTGCGTCCTGGAATATTCGCGGCGGTAGAGAAATATATAGTTTAACGTCTTAGCGTTGTACGAAGATCCAGCACACAATCAGATAAGTGAGAGGGTGTAGCGTTCATAAGAGACACCAAAGTTGATGCCGTATCATTTATAATCGTAACATGTTTTGGATTGTCCCGCGATAATTCATAATTCTTATGTAAACATACTGTAATATAGATAATTTATTGAGAATTTAGATTATGTTTGAGATGGTTGCAGCTGTCGATAAAGAAGTTGTGAAGTCGGTGTATAGAAAGTTGCATTTTGAAGTTGTTGTATATAAATCATTATATTTTATTTCGATAGTATAACTCTTAATATATTGTGTTGCAGCTATATGGGAACAAATTACCATAATGCCTTTATATATATTGAGATGAAAAATAATTGTATAAATGTAAAAAAAATAAATTAAATGTATATAATAACAAATAAAAATTTTAAATTAAATTTTTATCCACTTTATGAAATATTTTAGTCTCAATGATTCAGCATAATTCTAATTAAAATTTAAACCCCTTTTAAAACAATTTAATTTTTTTTCTCTAAATCAGGAAGCTGAATCGAAGGGCATAAATTTAAATGCAGACCCGTATTTGATCCTCAGCAGCTGCAAGCTCCATTCGCGTGCTTGAGTGACTGTAATGACGAACAAAAAAATGACAGGCTTACTTTCGGGGTTTTTGGCATGCTTTTCCCCCCATATGAAGCCCCTGTCTCTAGGCATTCACAAAGAGTCCGACCTCTCTCCAAGTTTTGGACCCTCTTCCCCAGTCGCTGATGTTCGCGAGGAAGCCTAGGAAATCCCTCCCTCCTCTGTGCTCTCTCCAATTTGAAGCCCAACCGAAGCCCCTTTTCTCCCATCCACTCTTCTGTTCACACACCCAAGAGGTGGAAGTTCACCCTTCTCCCGCTTCTATTGCCCAACCAAGCCAAAGAAGAAAATCGGACTACCTTCGCCGACCCCCGACGCCACCGCTAGCCCTAGTCGACACCGCACCAGTTTGCCCTAGCAGATCCTTCTCCCTCTTGCGAGCAGGTATATTCCTCTTCTTCTTCCACCTGTTCTTCTACTTCTTCCCCTTCTTCTCAATAATATATATTCAGAGGTGTTAGATCCGAATTGTGCCGCAAGGATTGCGTCGTGGCCACCTCCACCCATGTTACGGTAGATGTTGCGGCGTGGTCATGAGATGACATCGCTAATGAAGAGGGAGAATATCTCGCACAAATGGGGGCATTTACGACATTTTTCCTCTCAAAACCACGAGAAGCAGCGGATCACAGAAGGCAGTGAAAGGTCGCGGGAAGCAGCGAACGGGCTGCAAAAACTTTTCTACATCCGTTCTGCTGCAATGCCTCAAACGAGCATTTAATAAATTTTTATAAAGCAATGCAGCGGTGAAGCCATCCCAAACGGACCCTTAGCCACTCTCATTTTTTTGTGAGGTTTACATTTACTCTGCAGGACTATTTTATGACAGGATAGGGCGCAAAGGTTCTATAGAAATATTTTTATGTTATGACAAGATAAGGCCGACCTGTGACTCTATTCATTTTTTTCACATGGCGAACCCACGATTACTACATCAAGATCGTTATGCCCACTCTCAATAAAAACAAAAACAACCATTCGGATCGCTACACCAGCCCTTTCTCCGTTTCACAAAATCCCATTGGCGCCACTCAACATTCGTTCGCAACTCGGCAGGCTTCGACTACGTTTGGGACTGTTGATGTTGGTAAAGTAGGTTGTGAAATTATTGTATATGAAGTTGTTTTTTGAATTGATGTACATAATACACTGAAATTTCACTGCCTGGAGAGCAGCCGTAGCTAGGGTTCCGTGGTTTCCCTCCTCCTGCGCGTTCCGTTGAGGTTTCTCCCGTTGGTGGTGGTGGATCCCTCCCTTTTCTCTTCCTCTTTTCCTCCTCTACCAACCTCTTCTTCCTTCCCCGTTCCTTTCGCTCCCTCCTGTCCCTTGACGTGGGATAGAATCCTGGAGAACCCACCTAATGCTTGTGCATTTACTATCTCGACTTTACATACAGAGGAGGACATCTTTGATTTTCTAATTGATGACATTGCCAGAGCTGTTGAAGAGTGGAATCTCACTATGATTGGTTATTCTCTTGGTAAAAGACATTTTTATGAGACTTTACTTAACGTTGTGAGGAAACTTTGGAAACTCAAAGGTAATGTTAAGCTCATCTCCCTTAGCGATCGTTTTTTTTTTTCTTTTTCAGGTTCTCTTGCTCGGAGGATTTTGAAATGGTTTGGTCCCATGATACCTGGTTTATTTTCGGTAAACCCTTCATATTTCAAAAATGTTCTTCCCACTTCAGTCCCAAAAGAGAAGAATTTATGAGTGTCCCGATTTGGTTTAAGATTCACGATCTTCCCCTCTACTGTTGGACTCTGGTAGAGATTTCAAAAATTGCTACGAAATTTGGAATACCGCTTGTGGTAGACTCTCTAACTGCATCCAAATCCAGACTCACTTATGCTTGAGTCTGTGTTCAAGTTGATGCCTCTGCCACCTACACAGAAATTGTTCCTATCTCGGTGGAAGGAAAGCTCTTCAACCTTTGAATCCAATATGAATGGCGCCCGACTATTTGCTTCGTCTGTCAATCCCTAAATCACCATGTTAGCTCATGCCCAACCAACGCAACCCCTGTCACCATTGTTCCTCCGAAGAATCTCTGTGGTCGCAGCACTAGTCGTCGACCCATACAGCAATCCAAAACCATAGAGGTATCCTCCCTTAACCTAGCATTCCTTCTCAAATTACACATAATTATACCCCCTTAAATGCTTATCCCGGTGTCACTAATCTTCCCCGTCCCTCAGCTGTGATTCCTAATAGAGGTTCCGCTATTCCCGAGCAAATTCCAGTTACCCACACCACCACAGATAATCAACCCATTGCTATTGCCAACGACATTACCATCTCTACCTTTTTTTATTTTTTATTTTTTATTTATTTTTTTTATTATTATTACCATCTCTAATTAGTTTGACTTTTAGATAATAATCATAATTTTATTTAACTACTATTTTTTTATTACTTTCTTATTGTTCTAAAAAAAATTTATAATGAAAAGCTGATTTTTCAAACTAACAAGAAAAATTAATTTTCTCACATCAACTTCACAATCAACATTTAGAGAAAATACTTAACATTAATCATTGTTTAATAGGTTCAATCTTCTCGATCTATAAAGTCGTTTAGAAAGATTGACTATTTCATCTTTCTTTAAATATTTATGTGTATGACATTAAATTTTAAATGATATAAAAAATATTTTAAATATTATATTTAAACAAAACATTTTTTTTTCATATTTATATTTTTATATAATTAAATTATCAATTTTAATATGATGTACGTTCATACATATATATTTATTATAATTCTTGAGTATTATTTAATTGTTTGTAAGCTAATAGATGGATATAATAACAAGTAGGATTGATGGATGGATGCTATCAAATTTATGAGCAAATTTAAAAATTAACAAAATAAATTGAATGTTTCTGCACATAATGAAGATATCTATAGAATAATTACTTTGTTTAATTAATATAAATTAATTATATGTGTATACGGCATATTATATTAAATTTATGATGTGCTAAAATTATATTAAATTTAATATATTAATTTGTTAGTCTTTAATTTAATATGAATTTGTGTCGTTGCGTGATGTGTAACATTCTTTAATTTAATTATTCAATGGCTGAGAGGTATTTGGTATTATGATATATTAATTTAATATAATTAATATATTTGGTTTGAGGTTATGCCTACACTAGTTTGTTGTCCTAGCCTGCTCTAGCCCGAGGCTCTCTGTTTCCTTGCTTATATTTGGCCCAGCCTGGGGTGTAGAGTGTAAATGAGTCGAGTCAAAGAATGCTTAATGAGTCATTAGGATCATTCTAATGAGTGTTATGCCTTGATTAACATATAAATTATCTTAATGATTGTCCTAATTAACTTGATTAACTTGTAGATAACAATTATCAAGTATTAGACTAAATTACACATATTAGTTAACGGAAAGTTGCACCTAAGTGTATATTCAACGTACATCTTTCTTTACTTAATAATGACAAATACATATTTGTGTGAATGGATAAAAAAATAATATATAGATCTTTCCACCTTCACTAAATGAATAAGTGAATGTGTAACTTATGATCAAAAGATACAATAATATAACATATGACTACACAATATAGATTATCTTTTCATAAAAACACAGACAATTAAAAAGAACACCATACATACATTACTTTGGTTATTAAAAATTAAATATTTTCCATAGAACTTTTGATAGAACTATGATCAAATACATAGTTGTAGTTTGATCTTTAATAAAGGCTCCATGACTATCATAAGCTAATTTTCTCGAATATCAAGCAAAATATGAAACATATCATCTGTCTCCACAAGCTTGTTTAAAAGCCAAATAAAAGTGAGGAGCTTATCTCCACTACTCAACTGCTTCATATGTATGTTTGCCCTTGAATTTTTTGCCACTTGAATTATAAGCTCTGCCCACATCATAGTCAAGACTTTCCATCTCTCATCTTCCTCGATTTTAAGCATCAAATCAGCAAGTGCTCGTGCAATGGAAAATAAAGATCTATTATTATCGGTCCACACTATTGGAGTAGCCATTATCTTCCTGCACACCTCCTCGACTTTTGCATTTTGCATTGTGTAATTGCGAATGAACTTAACCATTTCATCAAATGCATGATAAAATAACATTGGGCTTGCTTGTACCGTAGTAGACATCATATCTGGTCGCATTAGCACCGTGTACATCATATAGTTTGACAAATACTTACAAGCTTTCATGATCTCTAGGCACTTTCTTACTCTTGATATGATTTCCTCTTCTTCTGTCTCTCTTTGATGAGGACATAAGATATGTACAGACTTTGGATTCCAATAAAAGCAGAGCTCAGTGGTGATGTGCCATATAAATACTTGTTGATCAAGTGACATCCCATCTAAAAGCTCAACAAATGCTGGGATAGCCCAATCCATTTTGTTGAATTTCAAAATTTTAGCATATCCTAGGACAACCTGATCATAACGGATTACTGTTAAACAATTTTTTACATCTGAAACAATAATCTTAATAATCTCCTCGTTTGCATGTGCTGGCTGCAACGTCTGCAATGTATAATTTTCATTTGTTATAGTTCTCCATCCTGAGTACAACTTTACCTCCTGCGCAAAGTCTAGCTTTTCTACAATCCAATTCATCATACTTTTATGAAGAGCTCTATTTGGCGCAGAAATATTGAGACAATTATTGAGTAAACTCAACTGTGGCATCTTTATCAACCAATGTCTTCTCTTATGCCACACATTTTGAATTCTAGCAATGCAATTAGCTAGCAACACGCTCCAGTTTCTTAATTTCTTAAAACTGAGTAGAGAAGAAACTATCCAATTCGAGAACATAAGCATAATAGTAGCCATGATATCGAGGCACATAGAGGTCACAAGAAGAATATAAGTGATTGTCACATTAAACTTGCCAAAATCATCCTTGGGCACTATATGAAAAAGCCAAAAAGCCAAGAAAATACAAATGGAGCATAGAACCCGAAGACCATACCCAACTATAGAGTGATTTATAATTGCCTTGGTGTAAAACTCATCATAAACATAACCAAGTGCCATACTCATCGCCCTCCAAACCTCCTTTGTTGGCATATCATTTATCAAATTTCTTGTTTTAGTATACAACTCCAAGTTTGGAGTAAGATTGATGAAGAAAGGCCTACAAGTAGAGTATAAATAGAAAGCTTGATTCAAAGGGTTCAAATCTTCTAGTGATAGTTTTTTATAAGAGGAGCTAATGGAGCTGCGAAAGCCATTAACACTAGCTTTGTAAAGTGAGTAAGAGCGCTCTAAATATTTAATGATTGCCACTAAAAATATCAAAAGGGTGGGGGCAAGTAAGCGTATGTTTGGAAGGGAACGAAAGAGGACATAAAAGGTAAAGATGAGCCCAAAGGGGAGGACGAGAAGATGGCGGGCCCAAAGCTCATTGTCTTCTATGGAGTAAGCTGTGATAGTGTCGGGGCCACCGAGGTGAAGGATGAGGAAGGGAGCCCAAAATGCGATAATAGCATTGGAGAATGAGAAATCATCCATGACATTGCATAGGTGGAAGAGAACAAAGTTGGCAAGCAAGTCGGCAATGAGGTAGCTACCCCATAAGATCATTTGCATCCATCTCAAAGCAAAAGTTTTTCTAAGATGGCCAAGAAAAAGGAGGACAATTTGGATGAAGATGCTGAGCAAAATGAATGCATGAACATCCCAATATATCCATAGATGTTTGTATTTCTCTGGGATATCCATTACTCCATGTTGATTCCCTGTTGATGATAAACATATAAGAAAATTATAATGTTCAAAATATAATTGATGATATGAGCAAATGACAATATAGATGATAAAATTATTCAAGAAACTTTGAATTCATTTTAATATGAATATTTTTCAAAATTTTATAAGATATTTTTAGAAATAATCACAACTTATATATCTTAGTATTTTTTTTTCTTAAAAACGTTTATTTAAATTACTATCAGATAGAAAAAGATTTTATATGTAGAGTACTGGATTAGCAATAATCATCTCATAAGCGTAACAAGGGCTAATAGGGGTCTTTTCAATTTATTGTTTGCGAAGGAAAAAATTGGGTAGTCAAAATAATGCGAATAGAAGAGAAAAAAATGATTAACGTAGCTGAGATCTGACAAAAAATCCAGGAGAGGAGAAACCCGCCGCCGTTAAGGCCGTAGAGGAGAAGAAGGCAGAAGCGTCGGAAGGCCGAGAAAGCAGCGGAATCCCGCCTGCGAGAAGCAGAAAAGGAGAAAGCGGCAGAGGCGTCGGAGAAGGCTGAGAAAGCGCCGGAATCCGGCCCGCCTGCGATAGGCAGTGAAGGAGAAGACGGCAGAACCATCGGAGAAGGACGAAATAGCACCGGAACCCCGCCGGCAACAAGAAGATAAGGAGAAGACGGAGGAATCGTCGGAGAAGGCCGGGAAAGCACCGGAAGCACGCCGGAAATAAGCAGAGAAAGAGAAGAAGTTGGAAGCGTCGGAGAAATCCGGGCAAGAACCGAAGCCCGCCGGCAATAAGCAGAGAAAGAGAAGAAGGCTGAAGCGTCGGAGAAGTAATCGAGGGCGGCGGATAAGCGCTCCCGGCTTCAAAGATGCCCAGCGACGCCCCTTCTCCTATGTGAGCTCGCTAAGCAGAGAATGGAGTTCGTGATTTGACATGTTGACTTGGGGATTTACATAAATTTATATGTTAATAGTTGTGATTTTTATTATGATAATTTTAACGGTGATATTCAAATCATGAGATCTAATTTTTTTAATTAAAAAATAATCAAGATTTAATTTTATGAAACATATTATAAATAAAATAAGTTAGAAGTTGTGTATATAATGAATTATAAAATTCAACAATTGAGTGGTGAGTGGTGATGGTCAATGCTGGAAGAAATTATTCTATGCGGACACCGAAAGTTATTTGGAGGCCAGTCAGAGTACGCCACATCACCTGGTACCCAGTGGTATCTAGCACCAGTGCCGAGTAGAAAAGTGACGTGACGAGCTCTGATTAACCTCCAAATGACGTCCGGTGTCAGCACTGAATAATTTATCCAGTGATAGAGGGTGATAATGGTGGATGGTAACAACATGTGATGGGGGCAACAAAAACATAATAAAGAAACATGAAACTGTTTGTAATAAAATCATGAAGATAACAAAATTAGTGATGAAAGCTTGAGGATTAGACTCTCACAATATCTATAACTATAAAGGAGAGTTAAAATTAATAACTTCGATCGACTTTGGTAATTAAGGTTTAAATTTATATATGTGCAAATCTAAACATTAATAAAAATAAATTAAATGATTGCTTCTATACATATAAAAGGGCTTATTATAAAAAAAAGTGAATAATCTATTTATATCTAGATAAAAGAGCAGAAACATAAAAAAAAAAAAAAAATGCATGAGTTATAGATTTCACCTCTTCCACTTGTGAGCGCTCTGAAAATAAGAAAGAATATTGCTAATAAACTGAAGCGAAGATAATGAAACTGTCAAATGATATTGGTCATATTTATAATTAAACCTCACTATACAAAAAGCTAAGCGGACGAAAATGCCGCCTTGCGCCTTTGACCTTGCCCCAATGCAAAGACGCTTATAGCCTTTGGCGCAAGGCGTCAATGCAAAAGACGCTTATAGCCTTCCACCAAAATGAATGCCCCAATCATTTTAAAATTGTTTTAGCGTCATTTCTAATTTCTTCCCATTGGAATCATTTTAAATTTGTTTTAAATTTTTTCAAAAATAATAATAATAATCATAGCTAATAAACTGTCAATGATAATTCCAAAGAAACTTTGTTCATGTTTATAATCGTAACATGTTTTGGCCAGATTGTCCTGCGATAATTCATAATTCTTATGTAAACATATCGTAATATAGATAATTTATTGAGAATTTAGATTATGTTTCAGATGTTTGCAGCTGTCGATAAAGAAGTTGTGAAGTTGGTGTATAGAAAGTTACATTTTGAAGTTGTTCTTTATTTGGACAGTATAACTGTCAAGCTGCTGTGCTTGAGTGACTGTAATGACGGATCAAAGGGCCTAAATTAAATTACATACCCGTATTTGATCCTCAGCAGCTGCATGCTCCATTCGCGTGCTTGAGTCATTGTAATGACGGACAAAAAATGTCAGGCTTCATTTCGGGGTTTTTGGCATGCTTTTCCGCCATACAAAGCCCCTATCTTCAGTCATTCGCAAAGAGTCCGACCTCTCTCCAAATTTCGGACCCTCTTCCCCAGTTGTTGATGTTCACGTGGAAGCCTAGGAAATTCCCCCCTCCTTCGTGCTCTCTCCAATTTGAAGCCCAACTGGAAGTAATGCAACAGTGAAGCCGTCCCAAATGGACCCTTAGTTGCTCTCATTTATGTGGATGTTTACATTTACTCAGGACTATGTTATGACATGATAGGGCGCAAAGGTTCTATAAAAAATCCTTTTATGTTATGACAAGGTAGGGGTGTCAATTCTTGACCCAACCTGAAATCCGACCCGGAAAAATTTGGGTTCGGGTTGACCCGTTTAGCAAACAGGTCGGGTTCAAGTTCAGATTTTTGACCCGTTTCAAAAAACGGGTCGGGTTCGAGTTGACCCGAAAACCCTAAATCATCCCGATAAGGACCCAAAAGTCGAACTTGGACTCCGCTGCCAGCTTGTCGCACGCCCGCGAGTCGCGAAACTGGACTCCGCCTGCAAGGATGCAGCCACATGGGCCACGACGCGCACTCGCTGTCGCTGACTCGCAGATCGACTCCGCCCGCATGGCGCAAGCCCTAAACTCGCAGACCCGCACGTCCGCACGGACCCGCTGCTGCACGCTGGCGACTCAGACTCCGCCGAGTCTGCCTGCGCTCGCAATGCCACACTCGCGGGTTATGTCAAATCGAATCCCCCTAGGATTGATTTTTCCTTGAATGGGAGGGGGTGAACGCCGCGTGTATCCCGAATCAAAGGTAAAGAAGGGTCTATCTTTAGACTGTTACTGCCTTTTTTAGGTTGAGATCAAGAACTTGCCCAATGAGTAGAAATCCAGCAGGGGACTGTCTGAAGTTTATTATTGATCGGAAGTATCTTTGTATTTGTTGGGATTTTCCTGAAGTATCATCTTGATATTGAAAGCATTGAGCTGAAGTTAGAAAGTTGACATGAGCAACCTTTTGAGGTTCGAGAAAAAAATTTGCCCCGTAGTCGGGAACCCGGTTCCTACAAACGGTGCCAAACTATTGCGTCTTGGAATATTTGTGGCGGTAGAGAAATATAAAATTTAACATCTTAACATTGTATGAAGATCCAGCACACAATCAGATAAGTGAGAGGGTGTAGCATTCATAAGAGACACAAGAGTTTTTACGTGAAAACACCTAAAAAAGAGGAAAAACCACAGGCCTGGCCCAATTTGAATGAATCAACTAGTATTTGCAGTCTATTATAAATAAGGCCCTTCCTTGGGAGAAGACCTTGACTTGATATCACAAACGTACATCATATAAAGCACATTACATGGTAGGAGTTGTAATAATCAACAAAGACATGTTTGTTTGGCCAGTATGACCATAGTTTATAAGACATCTGCAGGAGACTGGGGTCAGAAAGACTGTTGTCTGTTAATGAAGGTCAGAATGACCATAATAGGTGACGGAGGTCAGTAGGACCGTAGTCGGCAGGAGACCGGGGTTAGAAAGATCATTGTCTATTGATGGAGGTTGAAATGACCATAGTGGGCAACGAAGGTCGAAAGGACCGTAGTCGGTAGGACACCCAGGTCAGAAAGACCGATGTCTAGTGATGGAGGTCGGATGGACCATAGTAGATGATGGAGGTCGGAAGGACCGTAGTCGGTAGGAGACCAGGGTCAGAAAGATAGTTGTTTATTGATGGAGGTCGGCAATATTCTGGGAGAACTCTGGGCATCAAGTGGTGACCTTGTGGAGCTCAAAGCCTTAAATAGTAGCCCGACGAAAGTCCGGGCCTCAGGTGATGTTTTGGTGGAACATAGGGCCTCAAGTGGAGGTACGGCAGAAGTCTGGGCCTCAGGTGGTGGTCCCGCAGAAGTCTGGGTCTCAAGTGGTGATCCGGCGGAGCAACGGCGTCAGGCGGTGGTCTGGCGGAGGTGAAGGCCTCCAGTGGTGGTCCGGCGGAGCAACGGCATCAGTGGGTGGTCTGGCGGAGGTGAAGGCCTCCAGTGGTGGTCCGGCGGAGCAACGGCGTCAGGCAGTGGTCCGGTGGAGGTGATAGCCTCCAGTAGTGGTCTGGCGAAGCAACGACGTCAAGCGATGGTCTGGTGTAGGTGTGGGCCTCAAGTGGTGGCCTGGTGGAAGTCCCAAAAAAGCTGAGTGATAAAATCATCTAATAAAGGAAGGAACGCACGCACGCAGCACCTTCCTATTTAGGCTTGTTTGTTTGAGCGTTTGTTTGCCTTCCCCGTTTTCGAAATCGGATGATTTTTTTTTTTTTTTTGGTTCGTCAAATCACGTTCCCAATAACTCCTTTTTTTTATTTTTCTGCAGTTTTGAGAAAGCTTTTTATATGTGCTTCTCCTTTAGAAAATTCCATTTTCTAAACTAATGTTTTTTAAAATGGGCTTGCAAGAAGGTGAGCAAATGGGTGTGGTTACTTTGGCTAAGGAATTGGCTGTGAATAAGAATGCTTCTATTATTAGTGTGCCTAACCATGATAAGATTTCTTTTGATCCTATTGCCAATGAAAAGGATAATATTGTTCATGATTCTTCTTCTAATCTTGTTCCTTCTTTAAATCCGAGGATTATTCAGGATGATGGTTGCTCTAGTAGGGATCCCGATCCTTTAGAGCATGATAAGTGGCAGGATGCTATTCTTGTGAATAGCTCAGATAATCTTGTTGTTGTCCTGGATCTTGGGGATATTGAATCCTCCAAAGCTAATGATATTATTAATCTTATCATAATTATTTAACAGTCTATTTTATGATCAATAATTATTCTCCATTAATTCATTCTTTATAAGTAAGTGATGCGCATAAGTTGCTCAACAAAATCTTAAAACAGAAAGCGTCACTTCCATCCAAAGTTTCTTCGGTTCCTTTTGCCCTGACCCTTATGCTTTTGAATTTTAAATTAAGAAGAAAATTATTAAAAGAAACAGAAGCTGTTTCCCACTACTCGAAGCAAAAGACCCATTCTTAGATATTTAGTACTTAGTATATAAATGAATATTAAATCACTTAATATTAAGTTCTGTCATAAATGTTTTACCAAGGACAAAACACACTCACTTAATCACTTATTATAAAGCGATTGAGTATGAACCATTATAGCCAAGAGAATTGAAGATTATTCCAGCATGAATAAAAACTTAAGCAGAATTAGACAAGTATCAATCCAATATGACATGTATATACTAGTACATGCTCATGTAGGTATTTCACAAGTACCTCGAAAGTTCCATTAGGAGAACTCATCCAAAGCAATCATTTTACCTATTTAAGGCACTCGCCTGCAAGAGATATGATTCATCTAAATTGAGGAGTTATCCCAGGCAAGCACAAGAGGGGCACGCCTCCTAAGGCCACTCTCTATCAGAAGAGCCATTCAAGCACCATTGACCTCCCTCGATAAGTGGGCACCGCAGGGTTCCATAACTACAATTGCCTTGACTCAACACCCAAGGGTCTCACGCTTCATGCTTAGAGGTCAAAGTAAAGTCTTCAAAGAGGATATTCATCAGCCAATTCGCAAGTGCTTAGAGTCTGCTAAAGAACTCACAAGCTCTCTTAAAGATGAATCAGGAATTATGTGAGCCACTCTGAAGTTTTATTGTTTCATTGTAAAATAAGATTCTCAAATAAATATCATGTTGAGTAGATATTAACTATAACAATTTCAAAAAAAGAATAATGCATAAAAAAATTATTCAATAATAAAATTTTATTTTCAAATCAGAAGATTCTCTCAAAATTTTATTGGCATCAATAAAAATTGCTTTCCAACACAGGATCTACATTATATCTTAGAACTCAAATCATGTTCAATTTCACTCGAACTTAATTGAAGGGAAAAAACGAAAATTTCAACAAAATAATATTTGGATTAAAAGCCCTAAACATGAACAGATAAAGAAATTTATAATACTAACAATATTCTTTGATATCATTCAAACCTCTGTTTATGATAATCTTATTTTATTTTATTATTATTTCAAAATATATACTTATGATCATTATTACTAATCTTATTATAATTACTTCAAAAAATAATTCGCTGTTCATTCTTTAAAAATAAAAATTGGCACTTTTCATAAAGTTACTTCTCTTTTTCCTATGATCATTTAAAATAAATTTTATCTACTAAAGTAAATAGGGAATATAATACTTTATTACTTGGAATGAAAATTTTAATCTGGATTACTTTTCAAATTATTATTTTTTTTTTTTGGAAAACTTTTCAAATTATTAGTTATTGACACACAAAAATACGGATCATATCATTGATATTTATTCTGAATTTTAATATGTTTTTTCTTATGTTGCGAATTTATTAAAAACATTTTTCAACTCCCACAAAACGACAGAAATATTCCACAATCTATGATATGATCATTTTTATTTCTCTTCGGATCCATTTGAGATCACTTTCTAGCTGCTTTATTTTTCAAACAATAATTATAATTTTTCTTTATCACTTTCTTACTACTATTTAAAAAAAGATAGAAAACTATTTTTTTATAACCAGAAAAATTAAAGCTTTGTTTGGGACGATATTTTTCCTGCTTTTTAAAACAACTTTTTAGTACAAAAATTCTAATTCAAAAAAATTTTGAACTAATAATTTGCTTTATAAACCATTAAAATAACTATCTCAAACAAAATCCAAAACTGCAACAAACGAGAAAGTTAGGACATTTTTCCATTGATAGTGTTGAGATCATACCATGCGATTTACAAAGAATTTGTTGATTTCATCTGAACGAGCTCAATTGAACATTCTCTCGATATTCCATTTTGCATTTATACAACAAAGCATACAGCTCAATAGACTCAGCTGCAAAGATGTCCAGCTGACAATAATTATCTTCAACTGGCTTTCTCTCTATCGGCATTAGCGCAGTACACTAATTCCTGAAAACAAATTATCCATCAAATCAATAAATGAAAAGTACAATTTATACTAAACAACCTAAGTCTATATAGATAGGACGTAGGCTTCATTTGGGACAGCTTCCTTCTCGCTTTTTAAAACAATTTTTTCGTATAAAATTTTTTTAATTTAAAATTTTTATGCTAGAAAGCCAGTCTTAAAAAGTAGTACGAAAACTGTCCCAAACGAAGCCGTAGTCACATTAGTTGGTGCTTATGTTTCATAAATTGAACTTTCTTACCAGATCACCTCGATTAGAGCTGTAAGAAGCTAGCAATCCAACGAGTGAGTCTTCTGGATCCAATATCTGGAATTCTTCAGAGGAGTCAGATTGGACCTTCTCAACTTGGTTAGACGGCTCCACAGAATCATTTTGACGCCTTTTAACAAATGTTTGAATGGCGATGAACTGCGCGCAAAATTGCATATATATATATATAGTATATAATTTGATTAAATGAATAGTTTTCTTAAGCTTGAAAATTGAAGGCGATTATCAAAAGGTTTGGAAGTATTATTCACTTGGAGTATATGTCTAATGGATATGGTTGGTGGGTTTCAAGTACCACAGAACGACTGAAATATTCCACAATCTATGGAATGATCTTTTCCATTTCTCTTCAGATCTGTTTGAGTTAACTTTCTAGCTGCTTTATTTTTCAAATAATAATTGTAATTTTGCTTTATCACTTTTTACTATTTAAAAAAAAAATTGATAGAAAACCATTTTTTATGACCAGAAGCTTCATTTGAGATGATTTTTTTACTACTTTTAAAACAATTTTTTAGTACAAACATTTCTAATTCTAAAAATATTTTAACTAAAAATTTGCTTTATGAATCATTAAAATAGCTATCTCGAACAAAATCTAAAATGTTTTCAACTTCAAAATCAACCTCATAAATCATTGGTCGTCCCAACCGACTCCTATATTTCATAATGGGTAATAAAGCTTGATATGTTACAATTTTTAATAGATTCATCAACACAAAAAAAAATAAGTTATTAAAAAACTATCCCAAACAAAACCGTTACAATTTCCATTCAGCTTTCTCAAAAACAACTTTACAAAACAATTTTAAAAAAAAAATTGCATAAAAATTATGCAATTTTTTCATCGAAATAGACATTGGTGTTTCTAATCATTTTTCCTGCCATAAAAACAGTTAAAAAAAAAAAAAAAAACTGCAACAAACGAGAAAGTTAGGACATTTTTCCATTGATAGTGTTGAGATCATACCATGCGATTTACAAAGAATTTGTTGATGTAATCTGAACGAGCTTAATTGAACATTCTCTCGATATTCCATTTTGCATTTATACAACAAAGCACATAGCTCATTAGACTCAGCTGCAAAGATGTCCAGCTGACAATAATTATCTTCAACTAGCTTTCTCTCTATCGGCATTAGCACAGTACACTAATTCCTGAAAACAAATTATCCTTCAGATCAATAAATGAATAGTACAATTTATATTAAACAACCTAAGTCTACATAGATAGGACGTAGTCTTCATTTGGGACAGCTTCCTTCTTGCTTTTTAAAACAGTTTTTGCATACAAAAATTTCTTGAATTTAAAATTTTTATGCTAGAAAGTCAGTCTTAAAAAGTAGTACGAAAACTGTCCCAAACGAAGCCGTAGTCACATTAGTTGGTGCTTATGTTTCATAAATTGAACTTTCTTACCAGATCACCTCGATTAGAGCTGTAAGAAGCTAGCAATCCAACGAGTGATTCTTCTGGATCCAATATCTGGAATTCTTCAGAGGAGTCAGATTGGACCTTCTCAACTTGGTTAGACGGCTCCACAGAATCATATTGACGCCTTTTAACAAATACTGCAACCCCTTCAACTTGCACAGATGTTTGAATGGCGATGAACTGCAAAATTGCATGTATATAGTACATAATTTGATTAAATGATTAGTTTTCTTAAGCTTGAAAATTGAAGGCGATTATCAAAAGGTTTGGAAGTATTATTCACTTTGAGTATATGTCTAATGGATATGGTTGGTGGGCAGCAGATATATGGACTTTCCAAATGCAAGCTTTGTTCATTCAAAGGAATCAGCTTCAGATGTATTTCATACTGTCAACAAGAGCGAAACATAGTATTAAGTTGAGGGATTTTGAAATACAGAATATTATCAAATTACTCGATCTAGTTGTTTGGTGAATACCTTATCTTCATTTTCCTCCAAATTACGCAGGTATTCCATCAACCTGGCTAATCGAGCCGCCTTCAAAAATCTTCCATTAGAACCACTGCTGTTACCATGCCGAGTTTGGCTTCGAGCGCCACCTTTACCCCATGAAAGCTCTCTGTTTCCGGCTCGCAACGGGGAAGTGCGCATGGTTTCTCGATTCATTTCCAAGTCATAATTTTCTCCATAACCAAGATCGACATTGCCGGCGATTCTGACTGGTGAAGACCTGGGAGCAGCCATTAGCCTGCACCTCTTCGGCCTTCTATCAGGAGAAGCCTCTTCTGCAGAGGATGAATCCTTGCCAGCATCATTGCCATTAGCATATTCATCATCATCGTCATCGGATACCACAGGCGAAGCATTTCGAGTAGTAGCTTTATCACTACCACAGAAATAACAGTTTTGTCTTTGTCCGGTTCAGTAGCTACAATCAGATTTTCTCATGAAAGTTTCAGCGGCAGATTTAGATATTGACCTTCGCTTCCGGGGTGCTTCTGGTTGTCGCCGAAATGTCTCAGCTATGGAATCTTGTATCAGTTTACATTGAACCATGTTAGTTTACTAGAAAATGAACACAGTATTCCGAGGCAATATAATTATAAAAATTGTTTATATCTGGTATAAAGCTGGAATCAGGGCATTCAAGTTGGGATCATGGAGGGGGAGGTTCATTAATCAAGTAAAAAGAAAATACAAGTAAAGGAAGCAATTAAACTCCAACAAAAATTGGAGCTACCTAACCATGAGCCGAAAAGCACTCCTATTAGAGTATAGAAAAGATCAAAAACATAACTAATCTATGAAATAGAACATTGCCAAAGAAACATAAAGCAATAGGTAATAGCTCACAAAAAAACCAGGACTCCGATTATAAGTAAGAAGATGGAAAAATCAGTTCATATTTGTGTTGTGCAAGCAATTGCAACGGAAATAAAATTCACACAACATAAACACAATAAACACAGCGATTTACGTGGTTCGACGAAGATGCCTACATTCTTGGGAGGGGATGATGATTTCACTATATTGGAGAACAATAGGGAATTACAATGAGCTCTCTCTCTTCCTCTCATCTCTTACATTCAACAACAGCTCCCATGGCACTATTTATAAATTTGAGCCAAAGTAAATTTAAAAAAAAAAACTCCCTAGTCTAATCCTAATTAAATCCCTAATTAATGCATCAATCAAATCTCAAATCAAATGAACATAATGAGAGAAAATGTATTCCTTAACCAATTACAATAATGAGCAATTAAAAGCTTTTCAAATAAAAGCTTATTTTAATTTGAAAATAATTCCAAATCAACAATTAGGCTTGCCATACACTCCCCAAGTTGCCCGTAGACCTTTCAAGGGGATTTACATGGGAAACAGGGAAATCATCATCATCCAGGGCTTGCAAAGTCCCTCCGAGCCATATTTGAGAAAAAACAGTAGGCATCGTGATGGAATCCCACAAAGCAGGCATCGAAAAGCTTCCAACCTGAACCAGTAAAATAACAGTTCCCAAAAGCATCAACTTATTTCACCAATAAATAATGTGAATTTCTGTACTACAGTATAACCAGATTACAGCAATTCTAATGAGTGTTATGGCTTCAATAACATGTAGATTATCTTAATGATTGTCATGACTTGATTAACTTGTAGATAACAATTAGCAAATATTAGACTACACTATACATATTTGTTATTATTAAATCAAAATGGAGAGTTTCACATAAGTGTATATTCAACATCTTTCTCTACTTAATAATGACAAATAAATAATGGTGTGAAGGGATAAAAAATAATATGTAGATCTTTCTCCCCTCACTAAATGAATAACTGAATATGTAAGTTATGATCAAAAGATACAATAATACAACATATGACTACACAATATAAATTATCTTTTTAAAAAACCATACAAACAATTAAAAATAACACCATACATATGTTGCTTTGGTTCTTAAAAATTAAATATTTGCCATAGAACTTTTGATAGACCTATGATCTACTACATAGGTGAAGTTTGATCTTTAATAAAAGCTCTTTGACTATCATAAGCTAATTTCCTGGAATATCAAGTATAATATGAAACATATCATCTGTCTCCACAAGCTTGTTTAAAAGCCAAATAAAAGTGAGGAGCTTATCTCCACTACTCAACTGCTTCATATGCATGTTTGCCCTTGAATTTTTTGCCACTTGAATTATAAGCTCAGCCCACGTCATAGTCAAGACTTTCCATCTCTCAGCTTCCTCGATTTTAAGCATCAAATCAGCAAGTGCTCGTGCAATCGCAAATAAAGATCTATTATTTTCGGTCCACACTATTGGAGTAGTCATTATCTTTCTGCACACCTCCTCGACTTTTGCATTTTGCATTGTGTAATTGCGAATGAACCTAACCATTTCATCAAATGCATGATAAAATAACATTGGGCTTGCTTGTACCGTAGTAGACATCATCTCTGGTCGCATTAGCACCGTATACATCATATAGTTTGACAAGTACTTACAAGCTTTCATGATCTCTAGGCACTTTCTTACTCTTGATATGCTTTCCTCTTCTTCTATCTCTCTCTGATGAGGACATAAGGGATGTAAAGACTTTGGATTCCAATGAAAGCAGAGATCAGCGGTGATGTGCCATATAAAGACTTGTTGATCAAGTGACATCCCATCTAAAAGCTCAACAAATGTTGGGATAGCCCAATCCAGTTTGTTGAATTTCAAAATTTTAGCATATCCTGGGACAACCTGATCATAATGGATTACTGTTAAACAATTTTTTACATATGAAACAATAATCTTAATAATCTCCTCGTTTGCATATGCTGGCTTCAACATTTGCAATGTATAACTTTCATTTACTATAGTTCTCCATCCTGGATACAACTTTGCCTCCTGCGCAAAGCATAGCTTTTTTACAATCCAATTCATCATATTTTTATGAAGAACTCCATTTGGCGCAGAAATATCAAGACAATTATTGAGTAAACTCAACTGTGGCATCTTTATCAACCAATGGCTTCTCTTATGCCACGCATTTTGAATTCTAACAATGCAATTAGCAAGCAACACACTCCAGTTTCTTAATTTCTTAAAACTGAGTAGAGAAGAAACCATCCAATTCGAGAACATAAGCATAATAGTAGCCGTGATATCGAGGCACACAGATGTCACAAGAAGAATATAAGTGATGATCACATTAAACTTGCCAAAATCATCCTTGGGCACTATATGAAAAAGCCAAAAAGCCAAGAAAATACAAATGGAGCATAGAACCCGAAGACCATACCCAACTATAGAGTGATTTATAATTGCCTTGGTATAAAACTCATCATAAACATAATCAAGTACCATACTCATCGCCCTCCAAACCTCCTTTGTTGGCATATCATTTATCATATTTCTTGTTTTAGTATACAACTCCAAGTGTGGAGTAAGATTGATGAAGAAAGGCCTACAAGTAGAGTATAAATAAAAAGGTTGATTCGAAGGGTTCAAATCTTCTAGTGATAGTTTTCTATAAGAGGAGCTAATAGAGCTGCGAAAGCCATTAACACTAGATTTGTAAAGTGAGTAAGAGCGCTCTAAATATTTAATGATTGCCACTAAAAGTATCAAAAGGGTGGGGGCAAGTAAGCACATGTTTGGAAGGGAACGAAAGAGGACATAAAAGGTAAAGATGAGCCCAAAGGCGAGGACGAGAAGATGGCGGGCCCAAAGCTCATTGTCTTCTATGGAGTAAGCTGTGATAGTGTCGGGGCCACCGAGGTGGAGGATGAGGAAGGGAGCCCAAAATGCAATAATATCATTGGAGAATGAGAAATCATCCATGACATTGCATAAGTGGAAGAGAACAAAGTTGGCAAGCAAGTCGGCAATGAGGTAGCTACCCCATAAGATCGTTTGCATCCATCTCAAAGCAAAAGTTTTTCTAAGATGGCCAAGAAAAAGGAGGACAATTTGGATGAAGATGCTGAGCAAAATGAAGGCATGAACATCCCAATATATCCATATATGTTTGTATTTCTCTGGGATATCCATTACTCCCTGTTGATTCCCTGTTGATGATAAAATTATAAGAAAGTTATAACGTTTAAAAATAATTGATGATATGAGCAAATGACAATATAGATGATAAAATTATTCAAGATACTTTGAATTCATTTTAATATGAATATTTTTCAAAAATTTATAAGATATTTTTAGGAATAATCATAACTTATATAGCTTAGTATTTTTTTTTTCTTAAAAACGTTTATTTAAATTACTATCAAATAGAAAAAGATTTTACATGTAGAGTAGTACTGGATTAGCAATAATCATCTCATAAGCTAACAAGGGCTAATAGGGGTCTTTTCAATTTATTGTTTGCGAAGGAAAAAATTGGGTAGTCAAAATAATGCGAATAGAAGAGAAAAAAATCGATTAACGTAGCTGAGATCTGACAAAAAATCCAGGAGAGGAGAAACCCGCCGCCGTTAAGGCCGTAGAGGAGAAGAAGGCAGAAGCATCGGAAATGCAAATATATATAAATATAAATGAATTAAATAGTATCCATCTAAATCATCAATTTTTAATATCAAAAAAAAAAATTTTGGATATAAATGAATTAAGTATTATGTATAAAAATCCTCAATTTATATATATATATATATATATCATTTTTCTCATTTTTAATCTTTATTGAAAGCTAATTGATAGTTTTTATAGTGAAAATATGTGATTGTTAAAATTGTGTGTGCTATTTTCTTTTATAATTTTTTTTTTTTTAAAAAAAAAGTTTTTTCAAAGATTATTTTTATGCGTCGCATTACTAATAAAAAAGATAAAAAATGAAGGAAGCATGGAACCAATCGTAATAAAATTGGTGATAAAAGCCTGAGAGCAAAATCAAGTTATAAACAATAATAAAATAAAAAATTGGATTAGATATTGAGAACTCACTCAGTGACCTATTGAGAGCAGAGCGCTTTGAGAAGGGCCAAATTAATAGCTGAACTAAAGAGATGATCATTTTGCATATTTATAAGGTTTGAATATCGAAGAGGAATGTCAAGATTTTGTTGGTGCGCCAAAAGTCTGCATTAACTTCGGTTACACATTCCTAGAAGCTTCCCCTTCCCGCTTGAGAAAACTAATAAAAAATACATTTGTCTTAACTTAGTTTCCTGACCTTCCAAGTAGTTAGCCTTCATTATATTTTTAAATTATAAATTAAAGACATATATTTTTTAGAGATATTATTTTTTAATTGGAGACTTTGAGGCTTGAAAATAGATACATTTTTAAGAAAATTCGTTAAATCATATGTGGGTTTTAATGCAAGTATGTTAATAAAAAAACTTTCAAGATTAATTTTGTGCTTATCATAATTCGGATATCAATAAATTAACTATACTCTTTCATGTGATATGAATACTCTAATGCTTATCAACTTCGTTATCTATCATCGCCAATTATGCTAACACACGCCGTCTGTTATATGATTAATGATAAACACAACAGATAAGTACTCATGCATATAGAAAAGTCGGCTTACATATCTTTCGTTCTCCACTTTCTCTGCCACAGACAGAGCAGCTTTTACAGATTTTTCATCACAGCCATTTGTTCCCTGTCAAGAGGATCATCACCATTGGTTTTGTAACCGCTTGCAGTATAAGTATAGTATATTGTATCTGCTTCACTGCATGAAGATGAAATGAGAACTTTGTGTTCATTACTTCTTCATCTCCTCTAATGCATACTTTTCTCTTAATCCCACGCTTTTCTTTGCCTCTTTAGTTTTGCTGCTTTGCTGGTATCAAGCCGCAGGTCAATCGGAAGATCAAAAGTTTTCATGGTATCAGAGCACTAGGTGTTACTCTCTGATGGCTGATTCATCCACAACAACTCCGATGGAAACGTCCAGCACCAGTTCACCGATTTCAGAAATATATATTCCACCGCAGCTAAAGTTTTTTATGTCTAATGTGAAGACAATGGCTAATGTTCAACTGACCACTGAAAATCATCTCATATGGAAGGCGCAGATGCTCAAACTGTTCACAGCGAACGGTTTTGAAGTACATCTTACCGGAGCTACAGTCAAGCCGGCGCAATACCTGACCTCATCCATCGGTGTATCTTCGATCAACCCATCCTATACAACCTGGATGCTGGTCGATCAGCATCTATCCTCTGCTATCTATTCCACTGTCTCACCATCTCTCTTACCTTATATACTTAATATCGATTCTGCTCACGAGATTTGGTTGACACTTGAGCGCAGGCTGCAGTCGTCGAACAGATCCCGCATTCTCCAGCTCAAAGGAGAATTGCATCAGCTGAAACTTGGTGATAAAACTATGTTCCAATATCTCACAGATATTAAGAACAAAATAGATGCCATAACCGCTGCTGGATCATCTGTTGAAGAAAATGATATTATGCATTATACGCTGAACGGATTGCCTGCATCGTATCAGTCTTTTAAGACTTCAATACGTACTCAGCTAAATCCCATTCCCATCGACGACTTTTACGCCCTGCTTTGTAGTGAAGAACTACACATCCATGCGGACACAAGCCGAGATTCCATAACATCATCTGACCCAAACTTTGCTCTTACCGCCACCAGAGGATCCTCCCGTGGTCGAGCCTTTTATAAAAACAGGGGACGGGGTTCCCCTTCTAATCAAGGCACACCAGGTCGTGGATATGTTGGACATGTTACGTCTGCTCCCTTTAACTCGGCATCTGCTCGAGGTGGTAGACGACCTCGCCCGAACATTAAATGTCAGATTTGCGGGAAACCAGGCCATTCAGCTATCAATTGCTGGTATCGCCACGACACAACTTATTCTTCAGCACCGCAAGCATATATCGCAACAGATGCACCGCAACAAGCAGAACGGTTTTTGGATTCAGGAGCAACTGTTTTGATTAAAAAAATATTTATAAATATAGTTTTTGAAAATATATTAATTTTCTTTGGGAAATATTTAATTTTGAATTTTGAAATTGAACACGTCATTATAAACAATATATCGTCTCGAAAGGCGATCATATCGTTCCCTAATGGGTTCAG